GTTTGATGGGGTGGCAAGGTGGCTCAGTGGGTAAAGGCATTCATGTAGACCTTAGGAGCAGAGTTTAACCCAAGCGTTCATGTAAAGGTGAATGGAGAGAACAGACTCCGCTAAGTTGTCCTCTGACCTTCACACATCTGCCATAGCCCGCAGGCCCATCACATTCCCGTACACACTAATAAAATAATGTGGTTTAGGGGCTGGAGAGATGGCTCAGTGGGTAAGAGGTCTGTCTTTTCCTCCAGAGGTCATGCGTTCAGTTCCCCGCAACCACATGGTGGCTCACAACCATCTATAGTGAGATCTGGTGCCTCTTCTGGCGTGAAGGTGTACACGCAGGCAGAACACTGTGTACATGATATGTAAATAAATCTTTTTAAAAAATGTGCTGGGTGAGGATGCTGATCCTGCCAACCGGGAATGACTGGCCCCAGCTCACACTGCGCAGCTGCCTTCTCAGAGATGCTACCTAAAGTTTCTGGGACTCTTCGTCCGCACGGCAGAAACTCAGATCGCAGGTGCAGCTGCCTGAGGGAGACTCGAATACCCAGGTCAGAGCCTCCGGGCGGGCATTGTGAGACAGGTTAGCAGTGTCCACTATGAGCTTAGCTGCGAGACATGGGAGGGGCTTTCTAAGGTTCACAGCCCCTGCCTCAGCACGGGGTTATGGCCGATCAGCCCACCTCAGGGAGCACCAACTCCACACACAGCTTGCTGGAGCTGCCTCTGTCTTTTTCCTTGGGGGTCTGAGGTATTGAATTCAGCTTGTCAGACTAGGTGGCAAGTGCCCTGACTTGCTGAGCCTTCTCCTGGTCCCTGACCTTGAACTTCTGACCTTCTACCTGGCCTCCCAAGCTGGGATTTCCAGGCATGTACGAGCATGCCCAGTTTGAGCGGAGCCGGGAATCCATTCCAGGTTTTGTGGTATGCCAGGAAGCATTCTCCCAGTGCAGCCACAAACCCTGCCTTGGGGGTGGCTCCTGAACTCTGTCAACCTCGCCAGTAGCTGTGGTGACGATTGTGCACCATCAGGCCCAGCTGCCTTTCTGTCTTCCAGAAAGGTTGACACAGCCTGAGTGTAGGTCAGCGCACAGGGCTTACCTACCATGTGCAAGGCCCTGGGCTTCGCAGTACGACAGGGTGGGGGAAAGGGCATCACAGAGGATCAACACTAAGCAGCTGAGAGTGGCTGCCTGCAGTGCTGGGGTAACAGCGCTCTGAACACATCTACCCACGAAAAGAACACGGGCTGCATTGCTTCAATCCTGGGTTTATTCGTAATGTCGGCCGTGGACACCGCTGTCAGACAGTGAACCCTGCAAGATCTCCATTCAGGTTCCCTGATACTAATTCTCTGTCGATAGAATAGTCATGTTTTGGGAGCCTGCTGCTATCTTGTTCTTGTTTGTCTGACCATTTTGTCTTTTTAGCAGTAGGAATTGAACTCGGGGCCTCATTCTTACTAGACAAACACTCTACCACTGAGCCCTGTGCCCAGCTTTGTCATGAGAAACTTCCAGAAATCCCATCAACATTGAGCATTATGAGGGGCTTTTCTCCACTGGACACACAGGGATTGCACTGGGTGAAATGGCAGAGCAGAAACTCGAACCCACGGCTCATCAGTTAAAGATGCTTGGCTCCACACTTGAAGACTTGAGTTTGAGACATGAAATCCACCTGGTGGAAGGAGAGAGCCAAATCCTGCAGGTTGTCCTCTGACCTTCACACACATAAATACACAAATTTAAAAGTGTAACGAAAATGCAAATCTAGGGATCACAGAATGAAAAGGCCAATAACACCAAGGGCCATGATGGTATAATTTTACAGTAGAACACTTGCTTAGCATATACAAAGCCCTGGGTTCTAGCCCCAGCACCTACAAAAACACCAACAAACAAACAAAACCCACCACAAAATAAAATAGCAACCCAAGACTGGCATGGTAGGCCACATCTGTAATTCCCAGGACTTCAAAACCTGACGTGGAATAAAAAACAAAACCGAATAAAAAGACAACCAACATCCAAGAGCGGATAGCAATGCTAAATGTCTACCGTTTACCATGCTCCAAGCATTGCTTTCCAGGGGGAGGGGCACGAGGGATGGAACACAGGACACTGCACATGCTAGGCACTGTGTCTTCAGGCTCACATTCTAGTTTGGAGCCCTACTGTGTGTCAGGCACTGAGCATGTGCAGTTTGGGGTTTTGTTTTGTTTGTTTTGAGACAGGGTCTCACTATGTAGCCTTGGCTGTCCTAGAACTCACTAAGAAGACCAGGCTGGCGCAGAACTAACAGAGATCCACCTGCCTCTGCTGGGGGCCGAGCCACCACACACAGCTACTTGTTTTTAGACTGCCAAAACTATACAGCAAGTGGAGACCATTTGCTCCATTTCCCAGTAAGGGCCTTAGCGTTCGCTACGGAGCCTAAACAGGACTGTTTGTGCGCATGCGTGTGCTCCTGTGCACTCCTGCAACTGTGTTGGGGTCAAAGGACAACTTTTGGCTCTTGGTTCTTTCCTCCCACCATGTGTGTTCCAGGGATGAACTCCGGTTGGCCCAGTGGCAAGCACCCACTGAGCCCTATTGCCAGCTTCGTGGCCAGCTTCAAGCCAGCATTTGACCCCTGACTTAATGAGCCACCTTCCAGCATGCTTCCATTCTGCCCGCCACGTTCAGAACTTTAGGGGGTACCAGGATGTTAGTTCCAGGGGGTGTGCTGCCCTGCCTGCTCTTCTCACTTCTCCCCCTCTCCCTGCTTGAGCTGAGCTGGCCACGGCCTGGCGTTCATTTCACAGCTGAGCCTACTGAGCCGACTAAGCCGATAATGGGGATCGGGTTGGCAGAAGCCACACCCGGCCAGCCCTGAGCAGTGGTAGCTGTGTGGCCCGGGTCAGCGGTACCACAGCATCCAAACAACCTCGAGGACTGGCCCAGTCAGGAAAGGGGAAGTCGGGAAGGAGAGCAAACAGGAGAGGCAGGGCTGGCTGAGCCGGACCTTCTCTCTTCCTCTCCTGGCTCCTTCTGTGGGTCTGTTTCTCACTCTTGGTTTCTCCTTCGCCCTCACTCTTTCTCTTTTCCACTGCCTCCCTCCCCTCCAACTCCCTCTTTGTAACTGGCCCCCTCCCCAATCACATACAGCTGAGGTAAGGATTGGTCAAAAACACAACTAAAGCCACTTGCTCCTCCACCCTGTTGGCCTCCAGCTGGGCCCCTGGGCTCCAGTCACAGTGACAGATGCCTGGGTACTGGTGACAATAGGGCATTGAGTGGCTAGTAGCTATGCACGGCAAGTCAGGGCCACCACGTGGTGCAGACTGAGCCTGCTATTTCCGAGCCCTTCTCCTTCTACTTCTACCAGGGCCCTCCCTGTCCCCATCCATCCCCTCACTTCCTCCAGGGCTAGCCTCACGCTATCTCTTCTTGAGGGTCCTCACTACCACCAATGGGAATTCCGGGCCTCTAGGCCCCGCTGGAACCTCTTACCACACCCTCTTCTCTTTTTCCCCTTCTTTTCAAGCAGAACAACAGATGAGGGGGGAACTACGGGGTGTTACATTGTTGTAGAGGTTCTGAGAGTCCCCAGGCTGGGCCTGGGATGCTACCTCCCCGTCCTCAGACCTGGAGGAGCACCTTGAGGCCCAGAGATGGTAAGGATCCAACCTGAGGTCACACAGCAAGATGAGCGCTTGGGAAGGCATGGGGGAGGTGGTTCTTTCTTAGAGGCAGGTGGGCTGGTCCCGGGGCCCAGGAGAGAGGAGACCCAACATGGACTACTGAGCTTCCCGACCCCCACTGTGCTCGCCGGGACTCGAAAAAGAGGCCGCTAACAACACTCGGTGTTCAGAGACACACGGGAAGAGATCTCGGAAGAGCAGAAAAGGTAGGCTGGGCGCGGGGAGCAGACAAAGGACGCGCGGCGGCGCGGGGAGCTAGTCGCTCAGGGAGGCGGGGGTGGAGCCAGGGTGCGGTGAGCACTGGCCAGCCCCGCCCCGGGACACGCCCGGGCTGCCGGGTGGAGGTCCGAAGGCTCGCTCGAGGCCAGGTCCTGGGGGCCTCTGGGCGGGGCCTGGATGGGCGTGGCACGACAGGGCGTGGCACGCCGGGCGGGGCCCTGAGTTGGGGAGCTGACCAGCTCCGAGGCTGCTGAAAGCGACTGTGCGCCGGCCGGGCGGTGCGAGTTGCGGGCGCGTTCAAGGTCATCCCGCGGCCCGGAGCCCTGGCCGGGGGAGGGCGCGTGCAGCAGGCCCTATGGGGTGCTGCTGCAGCCCCAGATCCCCTCACCCAGAGGCAGCGGCCGGGGGACGGCGAGCCCCCCTCCCACACCTCCCCCCGCAGCCCCAAGGCCCCGCGCGAGGCTACGGCCCCGGCGGAGAGACAAAGAGACCACGGCGACGGCCGCGAAGGCCTCGGGGCGCCCCCTCCTCTTCCCCTCCCCGCTTGCCGCAAGGTCGACGGGGCTCGAGGACGAAAATGCCCGCCTCTCGGGTGCGGCCAGGGCCTCGGGCAGCGCGATCCGACGCCACTCCGCCTCTCCATCCCTTCCCCCCCCCCCCCCCCCCCCCCCCCCCCCAACCCCCCCCCCCAAAAAAAAGCTCTCAGAGAATGCCGTGTGGCCTCTGCTCGGACCAACAGCAGGCGATCGCGGCCCGCGTCCTCCTGGGCGGCCTGCGGGTCTGGGCCTGGGATGCTGGAAGCATCCTCCGCCGCCGTGGCCCCTCCCCCACAGCCTTCCAGAGAGGGGCCACCCCGACCTCCAGGCGGCCGAGGGTCCCCGCATACAGCCCGGCTCTCCAAAGCCTCGCAGGCCAGGCCCCACTCCCCAGAACTCCGGATGAGGCTCTGCCCACTCTCAGGCCCGAGGCGCGGTCCTACCCCCCCACTCAGGCCTAGCTAGGCCTGGTCCTACCCCCCCACCCCGCCGCGTCTCCGTGGAGCCAGCCCCGGCCCCTCCCTCCCGTGTTCGTCTCGCGGCGACAAGGGAGTACCTACAGTGACCATTCTTGTGTGCCCGGCGGGCGCGGTCCGTATCGAGGGCGGCTCCGGGGGTCGTGCACTCCTGGGGGGGCGCCTGGTGCTCACGCCGGGGTCCCGCCCGGGCGTCTGCGGATGCTGCAGAGGCGGAGATGGAGCCGGCGGCGCCCTCGAAGGCCGGGGACTGACCTGGGGATGCGCGCGCCGACGGCCGGGCCCCCGGCGGCAGGTGGATGGAGGGAGCGGGCGCGCGATGGAGGACGCCCGGTGCGCGGCCCCGCGGGGCCCGGAGAGATGGCCCTTCCCGACCGAGATGTCGGCAGCTCTGCCTTGTGCGGCGGGACGTGTGTCCGGCCTGTCCGGCCTGTCCGGTGCCGGGTGCCGGGTCCGCTGCTCACGCCCGCCCTCCCTCCCTCCCTCCGGCCCGCGCTGCGCGCTCCGCGCTCTGGGTCGCACCGCCGCCGCCCCCAGCCCTTTATAGCGGCAGCTGCCAGCGCCGGCGTCGCTCATTGGCTGGGACGCCGGGTCTCCGCCTCCTCCCGGCTCCCGACGGCGCGGCAGGTGGAAGCGAGTGCGCGCCGGCCTGGACTCGGCACGCCGAGAACAAACAGGCCGACGCCTCAGATTGCGGCGCGCCTGTGCCTGTGGACCCTGGGTCCTGTCCTGACAGCGTATGGGGGTACCCCTTCAGCTTTGCAGACCAACTGGGCTCCCCCCTTCTGTCCAGCACCCGACTCCGACGGGGTAAAAACAAAAAGCATCCGGTGGCCCAAACACAACCAGCCCCGGGCTGCTGCATCCGAGGTGTACAGTGACTGTCGTCACATGACCTCTGCTGATATTAGAAATAATATCAGGCGTCGGGAGCCGGGAGGATCGCTCATATTGTAGTCTAGCAGAGGCTACGCAGGACTCAACGCTGACCTGGGTTCCAGAGCAAGTTCCAGTCCGTTGTGTGCTACTTAGAAGACCCTGTGTCTTTTTAAGAAGTAAAAACAGAAAGAAAAAGAGAAAAAAGCAAAAGAAAACAAGGTGGGCACAATGGCACATGTTTGTAAGGCCAGTTTTGGGAAGAGAACCAGGGGATCAGGTGTTCAAAGCCAGCCTGACTTACATGAGACCCTTCCTCAAAAATAAAATAAAACAAAAAGCTGTAGGAAGCTGCGGAAATGCCCCAGTGGGAAAAGATTTTTGCCATGCAGGCCTGAAAATCTGAGGGTTTGTTGTTGTTTGTTTTGTTTTGGGGACGGGCTCCTCTGTGTAGCCCTGGTTGTCCTCTCTTGACAGACCATGGCAGCCTCCAACTCAGAGGTCATCTGCTTCCCCTAAGTGCTGGGATGAAAGACATGTGCCACCGTGCCGGATGGCAACTTGAGTTTGATTCCTGGAACCTATGTAAAGGTGGAAGGCGAGAACCAGCTCTTCCAAGTTGTCTTCTGACGTCTGGGCGCGCGCGCGAGCGCACACACACACACACACACACACACGAGCAGAAGTGGTAGTAGTAGTTTAAAGTGGGCTGGAAACTGGTTCGGCTGCTAGTGCACATGAATCCCGGGTCCCATCCCCAGCACAAAAACTTGGCGTGAGGCTGCAAGCTTGTAATCCCAGCACTGGGGATGCTGAGGCAGAAGGGTTAGAAGTTCAAGGTCATCGTCAGATAGATACATAGTGAACTCCAGCCCAGCCTGAGCTACACAGCCCTTGTTTCAAAACAAACAACAAAACCAAACAAGAACAGCAGAAGAAAAGAAACGTGGACGCGAGGAAGTGACTAAGTGGTGAGGATGGCTCTGCTTTATCAACTGTGGAAGAAACTAGCCCTGGTGGGTTTTGATTGCTCCAAAAAATCTAGAGTTCAGAAAGGGGGCGCGGGGGGCCTTCCCTGGAGGGGGGATGCCACGCTGCTCTGAAGCGGGTAAAGAGGTTTGTGCTAACGGTTCTTTATGATCCATCCGCACTGAAGAGATCATAGACCAGGTCTCCAAACCTGCGTAAGCAGGGCTGGGCAGTCCTACTTATCGGCTACCGTCTCGTTCTGGTCGTGCGATTGGTCGTCCTGTGGAAGCACTCCTTTACGAAAGGGCACCTCCCTTAATGCTTCCGTTTCCTGGGGCAGGATGGGGCTCGAGCAAGGCTTCAGCACCACAGACAGCGGTTTGACCAGGTGGAAAAGCGCTGCTGGTCTAACCCGAGTCACAGGAGCTAGCCTAATATCACCCGTTTTGTTTTTACATTTTTAAATTTATTATTTTTAAATTTATCATTTATAGGACATTCTGCCTGCACACCAGATCTCACTATAGATGGTTGTGAGCCACCATGTGGTTGCTGGGAACTGAACTCAGGACCTTTGGAAGAACAGGAGTGTTCTTAACCTCTGAGCCATCTCTCCTCTGAGCCAAATCTCCCGTTTTTATTTTTTTAACAGTGTGTTTACATGTGCGTGCCCCGTGGTGCATGTGCGTAGGTCAGAAGACAATTTTCAGAATACAGGCCTCTTTTTTCGCTGGGTGGGTCCCAGGAATGGAACTCCAGTGGCCAGTCTTTGGGAGCAATGGTTTTCCCCATGAGCTGTCTTGGCGGCCCTATTATTCTTGCTCTCCCCTTCAGGAGGTGGCTTGTCAGGAGTGCGAATCAGCCGGATTTACCCAATCAGAAATGGCTCTCGAGAAATCCAATTGCAAGAAGCCCTGGAGACTGAGCCAATGAGAGCGCACACACTGAGGACGCTCCCTCGCTGGAAAGGGCGGGCTCTCACAGGGACCCACGCAGCAGGGGCGGTGGCTAGAGCGTCCCCGTGGCTCCTCTGGAGTTCGTCGGGCCACCCAGCTGCGGAAGCAGTGCCTCCCCCAGAGGACAGCTCAGCCCCGCCCTGAGCTGCCCCCACAGTCCCCTCGGCTGGCAATCGGTGTCTGCAGCCAGGCTACTCCCGGGGCAAAGGCCCCATCGCCGTTGCCATGGAAACTGCCTGTCCCCCACGGCACGAGCAGGAGCAGCGGCTTTTGGAGCGCTTAGAGTCATTCTGCACCGGCCGGTGGAGCCCCGAGTCCCAAATGGGAGCTGAGTCTCGTTGCCACACCACCCACCGGGACCAATCTGCGCGTGGTGCGGCAGGGTTCCCCAGGGCACGTGCTAGAGCTCGCGGCTGTGCGGCCCTGGGTCACGTGGCAGCAACTACCCCAGCCGACACACTGCTCGCGCACCACCTGGTGGCGGCACCTCCTTCCCGCGAGTCTCCCTGCACGCCTTGGGTGCACTCACTCGTTCTGCTCCCCCACCCCCCGCGGCGTCCTGCCCCAGGACCACACCGAGCTGTTCTCCCACACAAGGATGGATTCTCTTTGTCATTCTGGCTCAAGTGCAAAAGCCACCTCCTTAGAGATGCCCCCTCCCTTCCTAACCCAACCCATCCTGCCATTCTCTGCCCAGTGCTTGTCTCCAGTGCAGATGGCTCGTTTTGGGGTTTCCAAGTGTTTGTTCAACAGCTCAGCAAACCCCGCAGGCCTCTGGGCCAGGAATGAATATTCTGTGCGACATGGGAGGTGTGAGCATCAGGACTGTGGACCCCTACCCCACCCTGTGGAAGAACTTCACAGGAAGAGTCCCTGTTGGCTAGCCAAGGGCGGCTACCCCCAACCCAGCCTCCGTGGGGAAGGGACGGGTGAACTGTCCACAGAGGGGTGCTCTGCCCCCAGAATTACCCAGGCCTAGGGAAGGGCATCTCCCTCTTCACTTTAATCTGTTCCGAGCTCTCCACACAGTGCAGCAGAGCAGTCCCAGGGGCCAGCTCCATGGGAGGGAGGGGATGGGGAGGGTGGGGACCTGCCCAGGGAGGAGTGGGGACCGCTCCTTCCGGCCAGCGGTCGGGGAAGCCCCCGTGGTCGTCTCGGGCTCTGACAGGTCTGGACATAGCGTCCAAGAGTACAAATAAATAGAGGCTGAGGTCCGCGGAGGGGCGGCCGGCGGTCAGGCGGGCTTGTGGTCCGGGTGGCTTTTGAGGGTGTGGAATTTGACGCTGTCCAGCTTCTCGAAGCGCTTCCCGCAGCGCTCACAGGTGAAGTTGTACTGCACCTCGGCCGTGTGCTTCTTCATGTGCCAGTTGAGCGACGCGCGCTGCCGGCACTGGTACCCGCAAATCTCGCACCTGTGTGGCGGTGGAGGGGCCCGGGCCGGTCACCGCGGGTGGAGCCTCCCTGCGGCCCGCTCAGGCCCCCTCCGCCCCGAGCGCCCCCGTACTCACTGCAGGGGCGTCTCCCCGGTGTGCGTGCGCCGGTGCACCTCCAGATGGTTCTTCCTCTTGAAAGACTTGCCGCAGGTCTCACAGGTAAACTCTCGGACACCTGCAGGGGGCAGCGCCTCAGCAGACCACCAGGAGCAAGCTCCCCCACCCCACAGCCCTGGCGCCTGCTGGAGTGACAGCAACAAGAGGGCTGTGATTCCTGTCACAAGGTGTCAACTGCCCAGCTAAGATGAGCTCGCGTGTGACCAATGCTGGAGCCGGGACAACTGCACATGAAAACCAGTACCCGAACGGGTATGAATGTGGGATTTTCTGGTACAGCCCAGGCCTCCTGAAGCCTGGGATTCACACATGTGCACTACACCTGGCCTGAGGGTCCCGGCTGGCAGGGCCTGACCTGAATGGATGATCATGTGTCGCCGCAGATGGTTGGACAAATAAAACTTCTTGCCACAGCCAGGGTGAGGACACACTTTGGTCTTCCCTTTTCGGTGCACGAGGTTGACGTGGTTCTAGGGGTAAGAGGTGCAGCAGTGTGTACCACAGGCCCACCTGGGGGCTCTTAAAGCAGGGAGACATGCAGGGCACCAGGACTTAAGCCACAGTCAGCCTAGACCGGACCGTGGAAGAGGCATCCTACTGCCCTGCCTGGGCAGGAGCACTGGGGTCAAAAGGCAGCTTTCCCAATCCTGGCTCCGGGCTCCAGTTAGCCGTGGCAGGTTCCTGCTGCTAGCCCAATACACGAGAAACCCGAGGCTCGGCCACAGCGTTGGCTGCCGCCTCACAGGTGCTGCACTGCCCTTGGGGACTTGATTCATTTTGTTTTTGCTCTTTCATTCTTTAACCCATGAGAACAGCCTAGGTGCTTTAATGAATGCTCAGCAAATTCAAGGGTCTGCTGGTGCTGCCTTCCGTGTGCTGCCATGAGGAAACCCCACTTTGCCCCTAGGGTATATGCTATCCACACTACAGAAGGCAAACTATGGGAAAAGAGTTCTAATTGCATAAAGATCTGGGGCGCCAAGCTTGGCTAGATCCTGGGACTGGGGTAGTCCTCCTGTGGGAAACCAAGAGGGTGCTGGGAGATGCTGGTCAGACCAGGTGGCTATGCCTGGTGTCTGCAGAGAGGGCTGAGGCAGCCGGAAGTCCTGCAAGGGCAGCTGGGATGAAATGAGCTC